CTGGTAGGGAGTTTGGGAGGCGCAATGATGAGGCGCAAAGGGGAGAGCGGGCGGGAAGTCAGGAGGGCGAGACGCCGAGTGGCTGGACGGTTGGGCGGGTGGGAGCAGAGCCCCCTAGAGGGGGCGGGCGGGAAGATCGGGGGCGGGGACGCCTGCTGGGGCAGGGGCCCGGGGCGCTGGGAGCAGGGGACGCGCACACCCGGAGCAGCCCCTCCGTGGCAGGTGGGCGTACCGCGGTGACCTGGGGTGGCGGGGATGCGGGGGCGGGCCACAGCAAAGCCCCCGGTGGGGCAGGCAGGTCTCCGAGCCGGCTCAGAGGCAGCCCGGGCTTGGGCGGCCACGGCCCCCTGCGGCGTGCGGGAGGACACCGGGCCGACCCGCGGGGACAGCCGCCGCCGCGGCCGCGCCGCCGCCCGGTCCCCGGCCCCGCTCCCGCCCGCGCTCGGTACCTGGGCGCTCGGCGCTGCTCCGCTGCCGGCGACTGCGGCAGGCGCCGCGAGGCGGGGGGAGGAAGAGGCGGCCGCGGGCCGGACAGGCGCCCAGGGAGCCCGGGAGGCGCCGCGAGGGGCAGGCGCGCGCGAGGGAGCCGGTGGCGCTTCCAGGCGCGCGCGGTCCCCGCGCCGCGGAGCCTGCGCCCCGCCCCGCGGTGGGCGGGGACAGCCGAGCCCCCGCCTCCTAGCGCGCTGGGTCCTCCGCGCCTCCAGGTCGCCGCCCCAGCGTCCGCCTCCTCCACCCCGCACACCCCTCTCCGACCCTCTCGTGGCGGCGGCGCAGAAGGAACTCACGAGGGTCTTGGCCGCCGCTGCCTAGGACTGCTCCCCAACTGGGAGCTGCCCTCCCGCGTGGGCGTCGCCGCGCCAGCCGGGGGAGCCTGTCGGGAGCTACTGGGGAGCTCGCTTGACCTCCAGTGTGTACACAGCCGTATGTGTGCACATATGTACATATATTATAGTAACCGTAATATATAATAACCTATATAATGCTACCTTCAAACCTTTAAACGGCCGGTTACCTCCTCCTTGGGTTCCTTTGAGCGGAAACCTACATTCCCGACAGCCTCGGGCCCTGAGGGTCAAGTCCCTGATCCGGGAATCCCTAGGCCAGATGAGGTAGAGACACTGCAGGTAGAGGGGTCGGGTGTAACACCCGGAAGGTGACCCCTCTGTGTGTCTCCGCTAAGAAGTCTCTACCAGACACTTCACAGATCAATACTGGAGCTTCCATTCATTCATTCAGCAAACATTTATGGAGCACCTACTAGGTGTTAGGCACTGTTCTGACCAATCAGGACACTACGGTAACCACAGGCAACTTCCAGTTTCATGGGGTTTACATTCTAGTGGAAGGAGACAGACAGTAAACAACAAGCACAATACACTTTTAAAGTCACCGTACAGGGATCGCTGTTATAGGGAAGAAAAGGAAATGGAGGGCAATGTAATCTGAGGGAATCGGAGGAGGAGGGGGTCTTTTTCCCTCCACGGGAACCGGGAAAGAATACCTCCCACGTATAAGATTTCTGCTATGTTCCAGTGACTTTACTCCATTATGCTTACCACTACGGTAATACTATGTAAGTGTTAAACTGGGGCTCAGAGAGGCCAAGGCCTCACCCAAGGTCACCAGCAGCAAGAGATCAAATGGAACTGAGACTCAGGACCATCCAACGCCCAAGACAGAAAAACTTCAAGACCCTGCAGCGCCCCACCCACTATTTGGTGCTCAGAGTCCAGACTTGCCCACAGATAGGTCTATGGAGGAGGAAGAGGCAGCCTGTGCTTCCTGGAAACACCACCTGCACCCCATGACAATGCCTACCATGCCCCCAGGGGACAGGGTACTAAGCACTAGGTTGAAAACCATTAGTCCAGACTTGGGAGCCCACTGCTGCTGGTTACCAGCTCTGTGGACTCAGGACCTTTATTTTATTATTTTTTTAAATGACAAATTTATTAATATTTGTTCATTCTGGGGGACAGACTCACAAAAGTTTGGTTTTTTAAATGTTTATTTCTTTATTTTGAGAGAGAGAGAGAGAGAGTACACACATGAACCGGGGAGGGGGAGAGGGAGAAGGAGAGAGAGAATCCCAAGCAGGCTCCAAGCTGTCAGCGCGGAGCATGATGTGGGGCTCAATCCCAGAACTGGAAGATCGTGACCTGAGCCGAAATCAAGAGTCCAGCATTTAACTGACGGAGTCCCCCAGGCGACCCCCAAGATGTTCCTTACAAAAAAATTTTTCTAGATTGGGCCATGTAGTGGTGCCACCTTGTGGCCACACTGGTATTATCTTGACTGTAAGAACTTTTCTAAAGCTCCATGTGTGTGCTCTTAAAGTTTATCATTTCTGTCACGGAATCATAAAGTCCTAGACACCCTTAATGTTTCAGTGTAGAGAGGGGACTTCAGGGATGCTTAGCCTTTTCTTGATTACTTCTAGCCATGGGGAGCTCCCTCTCTGGAGGAAAAGTCTGGTGCCACAATGGAACTCTTCTAAAGTCTTCTGCCTCAGACCTCCATGCCTGTCTGAGCTCTGCACTACAGGGATGGAGAAACTGAGGTCCAAGGAGGTTGTGAGGTCTGCCCAAAGCTGCTTTTGCAGAAGGTGTTGATTAACTGGATAAATTCCTTATGGTCGTGGTCAGTTTTGTTCACTGCTGTATGCTGGGCATAGATTAGGCACCTCAGTAAACATCTGTTCAGTGAATGAACAAAACTATCAGCCCAGCAGTTGTGACCCAATCATTCATTCTCAATAATTAGAACGACAGTTGGCATTTTTTCGTGTGTGTGTGTGTTTTGTTCATTAAGGTAAGCTCTACACCCAACATGGGCCTTGAACTCAGGACCCTGAGATCGAGAGTCGCATGCTCTACCAACTGAGCCAGTCAGCTGCCCCAACAAGTGATGTTTTTCAAGGTCTTGCTCCATGTCAGGCACCATTCCAAGCTCCATTTGTACATTAATTTTTGTAAAACTGGGAGTCGGAGAGGTGTGGTCCTTAGTCCCCAGGTTACAGATGGGGAAACCGAGCCTCAGAGAGTTTAACTGACCTCAAGATTACACAGCTAGGAAGTGGCCCGGCCAGGATTTGAACCCAGACTGATTGGATATTCCCAGAGGCATGGAGCAGGGGCTGAAAACTAGCTGGGAGTTGTAGGCTCCACGTGGGCCAAAGGCGCGGGGAAGCTGGAGCTAATTACTCATCCGCCCTTGCGGAGTGGGCCTGTGCTGTCAGCGTTAATCCCTTGTAAAGAGTTTAGGTCCTTGCACCACTGCTGTGGGGCGGGGGGCTCCCTGGGTGGCTCAGCTTGAGGTTGGCCAGGAGGAAAATCGAAGTCACTACTCCACACCTCACCCCCATCGGCGGGCTGGCACAACTAGTGCCGCTTCTCAAGGCTTTGCCAGCAATCAAATCTGGCTCCTCCCACTTGCTGCTCCCGCATCCAATCAGCGGCGCCTTTCCTGCCTGGCCCCGCCTCCCCGACCCCTTTGCCCCCGCCCAATGCTGGCGTCCATCATCTCCTGCCTGGACCACTGCAGTCAACGTCGCCGGTCTCCTCTCGCCCTGGAACCCACCTCTGTGCAGACACCTCCGGGGCGCTTACTGCAGAGAGAATGAGCTCTGAACTCTGGCTGGCATTCCAGACTTGCCACCAGCCGCGTCAAGCCACCTTCCTGCTTTCTTTCCAACGAGCCTCTTAAGCTCTTTATATGTCTACACCGCCTTGTTCCATACACAGGAGGCGGCTCCTGACCAAGATTCATCCTGCCAAGACAGTGCTTGGGCCTCAGAGGTCCAGCACCAGGGACACGGTCCCAGGAAGTCCTTCGTTTGGACCTAGCCTCTGAGTCCTTGGAAGCCCCGTAGCATCTTCTCTGTGCCCTCCGGTCGGTCCTCACCACCGTCGGTATAGAATGGTTACTAATATGGCCAGGGCTTGTCCCTACCAGACTAGGGGTCGCTGAAGTCTGCATACAGGAGGTATACTCCTCTGCAACCCAACTCCACGTCAAGGCCCCCATGAATGGGTATGTCCAAACAACTGCAAGGAGCGCCGTGCTGGAGCTGGGAAGTACACGTAACCTGCCCAACACGCCGAGCAGTCAGGAAGGGAAGGCTGTGTCCACTGGGGAAATCACGCGTGTAGTACACAGCTCTTGCCACTAGAGGGCGCAAGCTTAGACTCCTGGCACCGCTGCCTCCCAGCCTGGGCACGGCACTCCCAGGGCCTGAATGCCCTCAACTGCAAAAGGAGGATTTTCCATGGATTAGAAATAAAATATGCAAATTGCCTTGTATGTGGTGTTTACAGCGATGTGTGCGCGGAAGAAAGGGTCAGAGCCCTCACCCACACCCCCGGCTCTGCTGTGCCTCAATGGAGAATGTGGGGGGACCAAATGGCACCCTGCTCATGACACGAGACCCATAGAGTCACTGCGAGGTGGTGAGGCGCCCCGCCTGGCACATAGTAGGTGATTAATAAATGGCAATCGCTAAAGTTATACTGAGAGCTGTGATTAGGCCACACTGCCTGGGCTCGAGTCCTTTGGCTGCTACTTCTTAACCACAGGACCCTGGGCAGGTGACTTAATCCCTCCCCTCTTCAGATGCCTCATCTGTAAAATGAGGGCAATATCTGCATCGCAGGCTGGTGGTGAGGATTAAGCGAGTTAATTTATGTAAAGTACTTAGTACAGCACCACACCTTGTATATTCATTTAGAACCTCTGGTTTTGTTTCTTCCCCTTCTTCTGGGCCAGGCGAGACTGGGGTCCAGGGAAGGGCTGATGCCGGCTCACTGTGAGGATGAAAAGAGACGGCAGGAGGCAAGCCCAAGGGACCAAGGTCGAGACTGGAAGTGCCTGGTCCGGAGGCCCGCCCACTCTACATACAAGGCCAGAAATGGGCGCCCAAGGAAAGAGGTGGGAGCCAGGACTGTGGGTCAGCAGAGCTCCCCCCCACACACACCCCCCCCCACAGTGAGGAAGAGAACACAAGCATTGAACGAATTTATTCATGAGAAAACTCAGGGTCCGTCAGGGAAACAGTCTACTGGTTACAAGCTCTAGAAGCTCTTGTCGGAACAGCCGTGAGGGCTGCCCCCCTCCCCAGGCAGGGGGTGGGGGAGCTGCCCGCGGCCCCAGGGTCGGAGGAGCAGACACAGGCAGGAATGGGTCCCTAGGGGGCGCTCCTCACTGCCCGCCTGCCTGCCCAGTCCCCAGGACCCCACTCGCCCTCTGGGTTAAAGTGCAGCTGGGAGGGGAGCGATGGGTGGAATCGGTTGCCCCAGAGCAGTGGGGACACTGGCCGCCGTGGACCCTCCCCCTCCTCTCCCTAGTTTCTTGAGGCTCAGCCAGAGTCCACCTCACCCAGGGCCCTCTTTGGAGCCTCCCCACCGTCTGATATTTAGAAAGAGCTCCCCAGGAGGGCAACGGCTGGCTCCATCAGCTTTCCAAGGGACCCAGAACTTGGGGGGCAGTGGGAGAGGGGGAGGGGAGGGACACTCTGGTGATGGTCTGGGAGCCCTCCCCTCCCCCTGGCCCGGGAAGGCTCCTCCCTTGCCTCCCTCCACTCCCTGGGAAGGCAAGGAAGCCAGAGAGGCCCAGAGAGCCTGGCTCCCAGCTCCGGGCAGTGAGTCAGCAGGGTCCTGCCCAGACCTGACTCCCAAGCACGCCATTGAGGGGGGGCCACTTCGGTGCCACTGGGGAGCCGCTGCTCCAGGGGCACAGTAGGCCTTTAGGGGAGCCTGTGGGGCTCCAGCTTCTCCAGCAGATCCCCCCGCCCCCAGCCTGGACCCAGCCCCTCCCTCAACGCTGCTGCCAGCAATGCGCCCGCCCTGGGCTCAGGGTCCCACTGCCACCATCTGCAGCCCAGGGGCCCGGCCCCATCAGGGGCTGTGAGGACCTCGCACCCACCTCAGCAGCGTGGCCAACCTCCTCCCCTTCCCAAAGGCCCATCACAAGGAGGCAGAAAGGAAGAGAACCCCCCCCCACCGAAAAAGAACCCTGAAGACCACGGCAACCTCCCCTCACTCTTGAATATATTAAATTGTGCAGCTTGGCCCCGACCCCTCCCTTCAGATCTCCACGGCAACCAGAAAGCATTCCAAGTCCAAGTGTGAATCCAAGTCCATCCAGTGCCAAGAGGGGACTTCGGCCTCTCTCCCCACCCCCGTTCCCCCATGGGTGACACCCAACATTCCGCAGGGGACCAGAGGGGAGGAAGAGCTGGGGCCTCAGTCCTCAGCCCCCTCTTCCTCCGCGCGGGGGGCCCCGGGGGGGTCCTCGGGCTCGGGGGTCTGCCCGCCAGGGTGGGGGTGGGGACGGGTGCCCGGCTGGGAGCCCGGTGCGTCCTCGCCCTGCACGTAGACGCTCAGCCCGTGACTAGGCTCCTTGCCGCAGGCCTGGCAGCTACAGTGCAGGATCTTCTCCACCAGCTTGTCCACCCTGGGCACCTCCTCGTGGCCGGGGCACTCCAGGGTCACCTGGGGCGGGCAGGAGAGGAGGCAAGACACGTTTCCGAAGGCCCGGGGCTGGCAGGGGAGCCCCAAGAGCAGCGTTCCTCACGGGACCAACAATCCCAGAGACCCCAGAGCCCCCAAGCCCTCCCGGGACACCCCCGTTGGCTCACAGGGAGGGGGTGGGCCCCTGCAGGCGCCACCACCTGTCCCCTCTCATGCACTCCTGCTGCCCCTCACCATTCGCTCACAGCAGCCTGAGGGGAGATCCAACATGGCCGGCCCTGCCTAAAATCCCTCCTCGGTGCTCCCCAGGGCACTTGAAGGAAAGTCCAGACTCCTTACCAAGGCCCCCTGGGACCTTCAGGCTGCCTCCGGCTGACCCCCCACCCCTGACTTTGTGCCACCCCCCACCCCCGCCAACTCTGAGCTGCCTAAGGCTTTGCACATGCTGTTCCCTGTGGCTGAAAGGTCCTCTCCTAACCCACCCCTACCTCCCGTGCCAAACTGGCCCAGTTAACTTCTACTCAACCTCCGGATCTGTGCTCCAACATCACTTCCTCAAAGAGCCTGATCCCAAACCCCCCAGCCCAGCCTACACCGGCCCTTCAGGGTCTTGCTCTTCCCCTAATGTCACACTTTTCTCATGGCCCTTCCTTTACCCTCCCTCCTTCCTTTCCCTTCCTTCCTTCACTTTTCTCTCCCTCCTTCCTTCCACGAAGCACCTACTCCCTGCCAGCTCTGGGGACACAAGGACAGGCATGGTTCCTCAAAGAATTCAGAGTCTAGTGGGGGAAACAGATTTGTCAAAATCACCTGCATGCAGACAAAAAACTGTGATGTGACAGATGTCAGAGCAGAGGCACACGGTGCTCAGAGGGGTGGGAAAGGGCCCTGAGACAATGAGGCTGAGCCACGAGCAGAAGAATGAAGAGACGTTAACTGAGTGAGGAGTAGAAGCAAGGTACGCCAAGCAGGGGAAAGAGCGTGTGCAAAGGCCCTGTGGTGGTAACAAGCAGAGTAGGTATGAGAGACTGAAAGAGAGCAATGCCAGGCACTGTGGGTCACGACAAGGATTTCGGTCTCATTTTAAGGCAATGGGAAACCACTAGAAGGATTTCGGAATGTGACCGATGCCAGGATGGAACTCCTCAAGATCCCTTGTCCTGTACACGCTGGTGTCAGACTCATAAACCATCGCGTGGCTAGGACCACGCCTGTACCTCCGGCACACAGCCCGGACCCTGCGCACAGTGGGGCCTTACTCATAAGCACCGTGGCCAAGGCCCGCGTGCTCTCCGGGCGGAGGCTGGGCAGGGGCGACCAGGGATACTCACGATCTCCCACATGGACTGGGCCGGCGTGCAGGAGTCACAGTGAACCAGGGACTCCGTGGACTGTGGGAAGGTGTTGGGGACGCTGTAGCTGAAGCACTGTCCTAGGCAGGCCCTGTGGGAGGAGACGGTCACCGTGCCCTCGACCGTGGCGGAGGCGGGGACAGGCAGCCCCGTCCCCACCTCCCTCCGGTCTCTGTACTCCTCCCCTCCACTCACACCCCCCGGCTCCCACCTGTTCTGGATGGACTTGGCCTCACAGCCGCTGTGGCCCACGATCTGGGTGATGTTCTTGGCCTCACACCAGGCACTCTTGTCTGGGAACAGCGCCAGCTTGCTGATGGGCGGGGGGGCGGCCAGCAGCATCGCGGGGAGGAGGGCCCCAACCAGGACCTGAAGCATCGTGCCCGTCCCTCTAGAGCCCTGGAACGGAGCGCAGACAGCAGGTGAGGCCAGCGGGGCCAGCGGGCGGTGGACAGAGCGGCCAGTGGTGTCACAAGCACGGGCTCCGACACCCGACTGCCTGGGCTCAAATCCTAGCTCTCCCGCCAGCCAGCGAAGCACACCCTCGGACAAGGTAGTTCTCCTTTCTGAACCTCGACAGTGGGGCCGCTAACATACGTGCATGGGGCAGGGGTCACAAAGGTGACATGCAAGGCCCTCGGCAGTGAGGCACGCTCCGTATGGGTTACTTGTATAACTTACTGTGCAGCCTTGAGCAAGTTCCTTTTTATGCCTGTGCCTCAGTTTCTTGGTCTAAGAAATGGGGGTGGTGAGGCTGCACGGCAAAGGATGATGCCCCACCAGACGCGGGGCCTCCAAGCGCCTGGTGGGCGGTGAGTGTTGAGCAACCTCCTTGCTGCGACGCTGGGGGCCTCCGGGAAGCACAAAAGATCGCCCGCACAGCGCCTGCCCTCGAGGGCGGCCACCCAGCACGTCTCCTGAGCACGTCGCCCGGGGGGTCAGCCACCAGGAAAACTAACCTCCTTGGTCCATCACTGAATTCTGGTGCCGCCTCGGCTGGCTGGGCGTCAGGTGAAAAAGCTAACCCTGGACCAGACGACTCAGTCTCTGGAGGCCCCCCCAGAGCCTCGAGCCCTGAGATGAATGTGTATTTAACGTCATCCCCAGCTCCATCCCAACCTCCGAGACAGGCCAAGCCGGGCGCTGGCCCCTCTGTCAACTAGATGGGAGGAGAACGTAATACCAGAATTTGCCACCAGGTGGCGCTGCAGGGCAGCGTGTGTCAGAAGGATTCCACTCACAGGGGGCTCTCTCAGTGTTTGTCCCCCAACTTCATCTTCCGTAGACTTCGCCCTCTCCCCCACCTCCAAACATGTGAAGGAGGGGGGCTTCAGAGCAGCTCGGAAACGCAGTCAGTGCCTGCAAGGGGGTCCTCTGGGGACAGGAAATGGCACTGGACTGGGAGCCAGGCCCTGGACACCCAGGCCTCAGTGTCCCCATCTGTAAAATGAGTGAAGTGTCCTGGACCGCTGGCTTCTAAGCCTGGCAGAGCATGAGAATCCCCTGGGGGCTTGAGGAGTGAGGTTCTAGAGTGGAGTGAGCCTCTAGGATGCTCCCAAAGTGCTTCTGATATGGAACCAGGCTTGAGAACTGTTCCGGCTCAGTCAGTTCGGGATTCAGGGTCTTGAGGCACCCCAAAAAGGGCCTGGAGGTGGCTGACTTGGGATCAGGGGCCAGGGGCTGTCCCACAGGCACTAGAGGGGAACATCCCATTCATGAACGATCCTACCCTCAGCCCACCCCCTGCGTAAAGTGGCAGGTAACCTTGGTGAAAGTGTCTGGGAAGGGGGAGGTGTGGGCGGGGAGGGGCAGGGCAGGGGGCGGTTCTTGCCTGCTCCTGCAGGGAGAGCCTAGGTGGGCTCAGCTGGGCTTGCACACAGGGCCCGGCTGGCCTGCAGGGCTGTTCTCTCTGTCCTCTCCACCCAGAAAGTTCCGCTCAGCCCCTCTGTCCTGTGGGAGGTCTTCAGAAGAGGCAAGTCCCATGTGGCTGGACCCCAATGCCTGGGTGAGCCCTGCCCCCAGCCAGCGGGGAAGGGTGAAATGGGGAGAATGGCAGGAGGGGAGCAGGGGTGTCCTGCCCTGTCCCAAATGCGTTTGTGTCATGACCCAGCTCTCACCCACGCATTTCCGGTCTCCTAAGACGGGCAGCGAAGCCGTGTTTTCAGTACAACCGCATCCTAACAAAACAGAATGGGCTTGTTCCTAACTGGGAACCAACTTCCCAACAAGCTGGGCATCCAGGAGGTTTGCTGGCCCCACCAGGTCCTCTTCCACGTCGAGGGAATTGGCCTCTGAGTCAGGGTCTGACCACAGCACCGCAGGAGGGGGCCCCGGAGGCCCGGAGCTCCCTGGGCCTCCCCAGGCTGGACTGACCAGCCCCTCAGAGACCTCAGAGAGGTCTGGGTCTTTGTCCTATACGTGACCCTATGGCAAGTCCTCGGGAAGATCAGCTCCAGGCCAGGAGGGGACGGGGGCCCGGAGCGATGTTCACTGGGAGTGGAGACTGAGGGTGACTGGAAGCAGCCTGGAGCCCAGCTGGGTGTGCTTTGCAGTTGAGTTTGGGGAGGCTGGGTGTAGGGGGCTGGAGTGGAGCCCGTGGGCTGGGGCCAGGCTAAAGGGGGCAGAGCTGCGACCGGGAGTGGGGTTAATAAAACAATGCTTATTGGGACGCAGGGCAAGGGTGAGGTTTTGCTGGAGTCAGGGGCCTGGGACACGGCGACTGGTGACAGAAAGTCCCTCTTCTCCCCAGTACACAGCCCAGAGCTAATCCAGCGGAGCCCACGTGGGGGGGCGGGGTCTTGTCACCCCATAAGCCAACCTGCCAGGGGACCTCAGAGGGGCTGGGGCCACACTCTGCTTACCCAGCCAGCAGCCCTGAGTTCCAGCCAACTGCCCGGCTCACACCACAGGCACAGCCCCTGGAGTCTCCTAGTTCAAGTCGGCCCTCCCACCGGGGGGCGGTGTGGCTTCCAGAAATAAAGCTTACCTCTCTGCGTACTTGTGCTGGCCTCAGCCCTAAGATGGGGAGCACGGCCCTGTTGGGGAGAACCACTAAGCGGATGCAATCGGCAGGCACCCAGCTGGGGCCAGCCCTGACCCCCACCCCCAGCGCCCCAGGAGAGCGTGGGAAAGGCGGGCCAGGCAGCAGAGGGCGGGGCACTGGAGCGCAAGGCAGGGAGGTCCCGGGGCTAGCCTCTCCCACAGACACTTGTCATCAGGATGCACCCACCCTTGGCCCACTCTCACACCCAACCCCCAGGAACCCCTGCGGCCCCCTCCGCACTGGGATGCGCTCTTCACTCGTGGACTTTTTGTTTGTGGTGGTTTATGCTTTTTTTTGCTTTGTTTTTTTCAAGCAGCAACTCAGCTGATTTCTTTATACTGCAGGGGGACCTTCCTTCCTCCGATGAGAGCCTCACCGACAGAGTCTCATCTCTTCCTCCCTCCCTGAAGGTCACACAAGACAGGGGACTCCTAGGATGCCAGGGTGGGAAGAGGGATCCCCCACCCACCCACAAAGGAGTCGCCCCAAGGTCCCCCAGCAAGTCAGGCCAAGCAATGCTTTTCCACTGAAACACGCAGTCCCCTGAGCACCTTCTAGGTGGGCAGAGACAGAGGCGAGGGCAGGGGAGCTGGGGGCCCAGACCCTATGCCCACTCAGAACTCAGGGCCTAAAAAGGGAGGTGGAGGGAGGTGGGCCTGGAGGAAGTGGTTGTTCAGATGGGCAGTCAGAGATGGCTGGGGCGGAGGGAAGGAGAGATTCGTAATTCTGGATTTAATTCAGGATGACAGTTAGTTACCAATTGGTGGGGAGAGGGGGGAGCTGCTGGCTGAAGGCACTGCATGAGTAAAGGCAAGGAGGCGGGGGGAGAGGGGGCTTTCCCCCTAACAGCCGAGCACACTCCCTGCCTGTCTCAGAGTAGCAAGAGCTGGGGCTGTGATCTATGCACTGTTCTAGGCACTTCACACGTATTCACTTATGTGTCCTTACGCCAACCCCACAAGAGAGATAGTACTATCCCCCCCCCCAACCTTTCAAGAGATGAAGACAGTGAGGCACAGGGAGGTTTGAGAGAGTTAAGCTTACAAAATTTGGATTTACTAATACCCAGATTTGACCATGGACATGTGTGAGGTAACCACCAGCTACCTTTGCAGGTGGAAAGGCTCCCAGAGGACAAAGCCAGGAACAGAGCAAGTGAAGGCAGAAGGCACCCAGGGAATGGTCTAGAGCTGGCAAGAGGCCTGGGGCTCCCTGGCTCTGCCCCAGCGGGCTGTGCCTCTTATCCATATTAGCACTCCCTCGGAGCAGAGTTCAAGTTCCACTCCTGCACGAGACCGCCCCGCCTACGAGACGCCCCGCTGATGAACATGCAGCCATGGCCGACCCCTGGCTCCTGGGAGCCTCGGGAAAGGAATGATACAAGTCTTCTTCAGCGTCATGGTGAGGCTTCAATGGGGGCATCATCAGCCCACTGCTGCCCCAAATCCAACCCCCCAGATCCTCAGAGGATCTGCAAACCCCAGACACATCTTAGGCTGCCAACAAGACAGAAAGGAAGCTCCCGTGGGGGGAAGGGAGGGGACAATGGCTGACCCGTTCCAACATCATGGAAACTGAAGCACAGATCAATGAGGTGAGCACCCAGATCGCTCACACCGAGGAAGAAGGAAGTAGATGGACACAGGAGAGCCTCTGGGTGGTTTTCTGGGACCCTTGGTTCAGAAGGTCCCTGGGGCAGGGCAGGGGGTGGGGTATTTGGGGTGCTTTCGTCACACCTACCAGAATCCAGCAACTTCCCAGAGATGTCTGCCCAGACCCAAATGCCTGGGGCCCGAGCCCTGACTATTCTGGCCGCACAGGTCCGGGCTGTGGCCTGGGTATCTACAAGTGCTCTCACATGGTTCTGAGGCCCAGCCAGTTTAGGAGCCATGGCTCCCCAAATTCCACAGGGAAGAGTCCTCCCCTCATCCTGCTGCCTGGGTTCTAGGGCCTGGAATCAAGTCCTCAAGTCACTGCACTTTCCCTGAAAGTCACTAGCGTTCAAGGAAGACCTCCAGCCCACCCACAACCACTGTGAGCATCCCTTTTATATAAGAAGTGAAAGAGTGGCTGTCTGTTTCCTCCTTGGAGTCAATCTGAATATTCAGGCCAGGTACACAAGGATTTTCTGGGCAGAATGGTCCACTCACCACCAGCCACACACACACACACACACACACCCAGGCCCCTGGAGTCACCGTTCCCAGCAAGCAGCCTAGTGTGGAAGCAGGTGAGGGCAGGGCTGGCAAATCCTTGGTAGTAAAGTAAGCCTCTGGCCAACTTCAACTCCTGCTTCTGTAACCTGCTCGGGGAAGCCTTCCCACTCGGGGTCCCAGCCGGATGGAGGCTTGAACCTGTGCGTCATATTCGGGAGACATCGATTCCCATGGTAAGCACCTGGGGTTTGTCGAGTGTTGTTTTCAAACTGATCAAGTCCCTCCTTCTCCCTCTCTTCCTGTACACACACACACACACACACACACACACACACACACAGGGAAAGATCTGGGCTCTCCACAACAGAGTCTCCACCACTGGCTGCTACAGACCCAGGCTCAGACCGTAGCTCTGCCGCTTTAACCTTTCTGTGCCTCAATTTCTCCATCTGCAAAGTGGGAACAATGAAAACACCCGCCTCACGGGCCAGCTGTGAGCACTGAATTGAGCAGTGCGTGGAAAGGGCTGGAGAGCGTGGCCGCCACGGGATAAATCCTCACTAATGTCACCATTAGTGCTAGCCTAGGGTCCCTGAACTCTGCCCGCACCCTCCTGCCTCCCACAAGACGCCCCTGGCCCTCCCCTCTCCCCCACCTCCTCCCACCAGATCCTGGGTGCATCCTAAAAATATCGAAGTCTGGGGCTGCAGCCTCCCGGATGAAACTGGATTTAGGGGAAACTCAATCATTGGAGATGATGGCTCAGAAAGGGTTTTATAAAGTGTGGAGCGCTACCCAGCACACTGACGGGCCAGGGTGGGAGCTGAGAGCAAGACGCCACTCAGACTTTCACCCCGGGGCCATTGACGGAAGGGACAGGGTCTTGGGGAGATCAGCCCCCTAAAACCCCCTCCTGGAGAAAAGAGGCTGGGCATAGCTGCCAGGCTGTCCTCTCTGCCCGTGCACAGGGTGTGGCTCTTGCGGCCACAGCCCTAGGCTGGGGACTCGGTGAGGGTGGGGCAGTCCCTTCAGGTCTTGGAATGGGCGCAGGGACTTCCGTGAAAGGTGCGGCTGGCAAGGCCGCTCTGGGGGGCCAGCCAAGGGTCGTCAGACCCCAGTCCCACTCAGCTCGGCGGGCTCCCCTGCGCCCGCTCTGGGGTCCCAGGACAAGTTCAGGCCCAAGCTCATCGGTTGATTCACTGAGTCACAGATCATTTGCTTTGCCTCCCTGAGCCTCACACTTGCACCCTCTACAACACGGAGCATGGCCTGGGAATGTCCATTTTAGCAGCTTCCCTCAAGGGCAGTCTGGCTCCAGTGGGTTGCTGAAGGCCACTGTGATTCCATGACCCGTCTCACCGCAGGGTGGCTTCCTTCCTTCCCCGACCGACCGGCATTGCCAGCAAGGCCATGAACTGACTGTCCAGGGGGTGGGCACACAGGGCCAAGCCCACGCCCAAAAGGCCTGGCCCGTCCATCACGCCAGGCAGCTGCACCTTCCAGGCTACAGCCCCCACCCCACCCCCCAACCTCGCCACCCAGGCCATGGCCCTCCCACCTGCAGACTCCCCTTCCCACAGACCAAAAACCGTCTCCAAAACAAATCTATGGTAATGAGCTGCTGCAGGGCCCGACCTCACCAGCACCCCTGCCCACTCTGCAGCCTCAGACCCTTGGGGCGGGGGGCGGGGAGAAAGAGCCAAACTCCCTCTGAAACCTCACGTCAAAAGAATGAGGATATATCCGTGGCTCACGCAGACCACCCACTCCCCCCATGCACCCCTCCAACACGCAGGCCCTAGAGAAAGAGGTCCAGCTCGCTGGGGCTTGGGGGAGAGGGGCAAGGGTCGTCAAGGAAATGCTCCAGTCTCGCCTTTTCTTTGGCCCCAACTGAAGGCAAACCACACCCAAGCAGTCCCAGCCTCTGGGGGAGTTTCTGGAGGCCGGTGGTTTCCACAGTAACAAAGGGTGAGGGGCTCCTTGTTGACAAATTGCTTCCCCACCCCCCACCCCGCCAGCGCCCAGCCTTTGGCCTCCAGCCCTGACCTCTGTTTTCCTGGGGTTCCCGTAGTTACAGGCTGGTGTCCTCCAGCTGGGCGAGGGCCTCAGAAAGCCTGAAAATGTGCCCTTCTCTCCTGATGCCCGCCTGCCAAGCCCCTGGCCACGCCAAGGCGGGCAGCCGCCCCCTTTACTGCGGCTTGTAAAAGATCAGCATCGCCCCGCCCAGGGAGCGGGGCGGGCAGGTGGCCGGCAGCAGGGCCCCCTTGTCCAGGCCGCCTCGCGGGGGTGGAATTCTTCAGAAAACTGAGCCCCCGGAAAGGCTGGCTTCCCCCTGCCCCAGACTCAATTCCCGGGGGATGACCCCGGCCAGGCCCCGAGGGCAAGGCGGAAGGGAGGGGGAGGGTTTCGCTTCTTTCACCGGGTCTAGGAAACTGTTCGTGAACCCCACGGGGGGGGGGCGGGGGGGGAGGGAGGGGGCGGTTCGTGCCTCGGATGCTGGGAGACTGTCGGAGTCTGGGGCTGGGGGAGCAGGGAGAGGCGCGGGCGCGGAGGGACTCCCCCCAGAGGGGCAGCGCGGAGAACCCAAGGAGACCGAACACGAAGGCAGAAGGGAAGAAACAGAAAGAAAGCGACGGAAACGGAGAGACGAGAGGCGCGGCGGTCGGATGGGGAGACAGACAGACACGGGGAGAGACAAAAAGGAGGCAGAAACGTACCGGAGCGGAGCGGCTCGCGGCGCGGCGAGGCCCGGGGCAGAGCCGGGGAGACGTGCGAGCCCCGCGGCCGAGCTCCCGCCGCTGCCCCGGCGCCCGCGCGGCCCGACCCGCCCTCGACCCGCCCGGCGTGCGCTCGCCACGCACCTCCCTCCCTTTCTCTCGCGGCCGCCGAAACCTCCAGCAGGGGCTCGAAACCCCCCGGCGCGTCCGGGGACGGGCTCGGGGCGCAGCGGCGCCCCCCGCCACCCCGCGCCGCGCCCTCGTCCCCAGCCCCGGAGTGTCCGGAGGCGCCTCCGCACCGGGTCCCCACGGCGGCCCGGGGGCGCGGCGCTGCCCCTGCGGCCGAAGCCTCTGGAAGCCGGGCGCCCGCGTGCCGGCCCGGGCGGGACTTACCGCGCGCGCGGCGGCGGCGGCGGGGAGCGCGGCGCGCCCGCCGGTTCCTGCGGAGCTGCGTGCGGGCCGCGGGCGGGGGCGGCAGGCCCGGCGCCCCCGGGAGGCTCGGGAGGCGGCCGGCAGGGCTGGCGGCGGCCCCGCGAGGCTCGGCTGGGCTGCGCTGCGCGCCGTCTGCGGCCCCGGGCGGGCGCGCGGTGCGGGGGAGCGGCGAGCCGAGCGGCTCCGACGTCAGGGGTGTCTCCGCTCCAAATAGGGAGCGAGGGCGGGGGCAGCGGAGGGAGGGACGCGAAAAAGAAAGAGCGGGCGGGCGCGCACGGCCGCTCCCTCCGGGCTCGCGGGAGGGGGCGCCTCGGCCGCCCGGCCCGGCCCCTGTCCCCGCCTGCGAGCCGAGGCCGGCCTCCGCGGCGATCCGACGGCGCGGCGGAGCTTCGGGCCGCCCGGAACGGCGCCCCGGGGATGGGGCGGAGAGCCCGGCGCCCCGGCCCGTTCTAAAGCGCCCTCCGCCGGCTTTCTCTGCGCTCCGACTTCCCTCCCCTAACTTTTCCCGGGCCGGGCCTCGGGGTGACAAAGATGGAGGTGCCTCTTTTTGTGGGGACCGGGCATTGCAATCTTGCTCCGAGGGCGTGGCGCTCCGGGCCACCGTCCTCGCCCCGCAGTCCGGCGGTGCGCCCGACCTATCCGGCTCTTGGTACCCTGGGGCCCCTCGCCCTCCGCCCAGCCTCCTCTCCGCCCGGGCGCTGGTCTAAGTAAGCATCCGGAAAAGGGTGTGAGCGCCCCCGGAGCGCTGGGAAACGGGCTCACCTCTCCGGCTCCCAGGAAGGGCAGAGCGCAGGCCCGGCGCCCGGCTGCGCCTCGGAGGTCCAACTCCTCAGTCCGCCTTGGGTGGGTGGCGTCGTGCCCTTCTATTCTGTGTGCTCTCGGTGTAACGAGAAAACAGCTTTGCTCCTGGAAAGTTATAGCCCAGGACACAATGGTGGGACTTGGAGATTGTGCCTTCCTATCAGATTTGTACATGTCCACGTATCTTACCCCAGCCTGGCTGGAAGCTCGCGGCCGCTCGGTGTCACGGGTTGCGGAGCACCCTGGGCGGCTGCTAGTGGCCTGTTGGCCTGTTGGTAACTCCAGGGTGTGCTCGGATGGCTCCAAACCCAGGCGCATCCCCACGCCTCCTAGCTCTTGCTCATGCTGTTCCCTCTGCCCCGGGGTACCCTTCTCCCCCTTTCGTCTGGTAAAGGCATTCTTCAAGCACAAGATTGGGAAGACTTCCCAAGGCCCTGAAGTAGCATAGACTTCTCCCTCCTCGGGTGTAATCCTGGAGCACGGACTCCTAGTGCACATCTCTGTTCTCCATTAGACCCCTGGCTCCTTGAGGGCAGTGTCCACTTGCACTTGGCTGAATTCGGTGCAGTAAGTGTTCCCAGGAGAACAATAATAGCAATCATATGGCACATACTATGCATATTCTTTATCCTGTGTATTTGCAGATACGGTAACAATCACGATAGCTCACACATACTGAGCTCCTCGGTGGGTGCCTGGTCCCCATTATAAGATAAACAGTAGTGTTATTCCCAATTTTACGAGAGAAAGAAGCAAAACCTAGAGGGAGGTGGGATGAGTGGCTCACATCACACGGTAGGGGGTGAGGCCAGCTCCCGTCTGGTGGATGCCCGGGTCCCACCAAGCCTGGCCTCACTGCCGTGTACACACGAGGCACTCGGGAAATACAATCACCATTCTCAATGCGGACCTTGGTGGGGTGGGGAGGGGATTGTTGGCATTTTGAAAGAAGCCTCACGGGCACTGTGGGAAGCTGACTGTGTAGCCCAGATTGTTAGATCACACAGAGAGCCTGGGGTAGAAGGCCTTGACAGCTCAGCCACAACTCTCTCAAACACAGGAAGGTTCTAGAACAATCCCAACCACCTTTGCACTTCCACATTGAGTCACACGTGCCTGGGGAAGACTGGCCAGCACAGAACGACTGCGATGTGGGCAGGGGGCTCTAGAAGGTGACTCGTCAATAGCCTCAACGGCTGAGGTTACGTGCCAGGAATCACGCGAAGTAGTGTGCCGCCTTGTCCTGTGCAATCCTTACCGCGGTCTCAACATCATCCCCATTCAACAGGCAAGAAAACTGGAGGCCCCAGAAGTTTAGCGACCTGCCCGAGATCGCACCACTAGCGACTTGACAAAGAGGAACCTGAACCCAGACCCGACAAGCCCGAAGCCTGTGCTCCCCTGACCGCCACACCCTCTTGGCGGTCTCAGGAGCCTCTCCCCATCTGGCTGCGGTGAGGATGCTACCCCACTGGGAGCCTGGGGGCCGGGGTGGGGGGGGGGCCCTCAGGAAAGGCAGAACCTGTCACGTCAGAGTCTCCGAGCTCACGGAGATGCACCTGGTTGGCAACAGTGTGCCAGTTGCCCCGACAGGCCTGGCTGGCACAGGGCACGGGCCTGAAGCCAGAGCCTGCTGGCCCTGGGCCAGCCTCTTGGGGCCGAGTAATGTGGGGCCCAGAGCTGGGGTAGAGGGCTGAGAGCCTCTCTCCCCAGCTCATTAGCAAACATCTGGGCTCAAGAAAATGACCGACCTGGAATGTGACTGGGCTGTGGGGAGCCGCTCCCTCCCCGAGTCCCGGGAATGTGAGCTCCCTCCCGCAGGGCACGGGCTCGGGCCAGCTGTTTCCTCTAATCCCGTCAGCCTGGCCTCGACAGGGGTGCAAACCTCTGCACGCCCCTGGAGAGTGAAAACAAGCAAAAGGCCTTCCTTCCCAGTCCTGCCCACTCAATCGGAGGGAGGGTTGGTACTGGTGCCCGGGAGGAGCACAGTCCCTCCCTTTTCTAGGAGATAAAGACCGAGTGTGTCCACACTTCCACATTTGCAGCTGGGAGGGGCCGCTAGGGCTCATCACGGAAGCTTCTGGAATCTTCCTGCTCGGGTCTGAGCCGTCGTTCCATCATCCGCGGGCCCTGGGGCTCTGTGCAGGCTGCTGCCTGGACCTCGGTTTCCTTCTCTGTAAAATGTGGCTGGTCGTGGTACTCCATAGAGCTGTTGTCTGGACTCGTGCATTTATTTTAACAAATATTTATTGTGCCTACTGTGTGCCACACAGGCACGGGAGTGTCGAGGACACAGCAGCCCATGTTCTGCAACAGGGAACAGGGACATGGAAGCAGATGAACGGGTTTCTCATAATCAAGGAACTGAGTAAGTCGGGGGGTGGGGTGGGTGATGGGATGGGAGAAGCCTCAGAAGACGGCTTGGAGGTGACGTTCAAGGGAAGACCGTCATGAGAAGGAGTCAGGACTCCAGGAGATAAATGGATGCAAAGTGCTTGGCACAGTTTCTGGAGAACAGCACGTGCTCCAGAAATGGAAGGCTATTTTAGGGAGGTTCCTCTACAGCAGAGGGAAGGCGGGGGGCAGCGTCCCTGGACCACACCTAGGCTTTAGCACAAAGCTTCCCCACCTTACTCAACTAATGCGCTTCCTGAGCCTCAGTTTCGTCATCTGTGAAGTAGGAATTTTTACAGTACCCAATAGCAGGCTAACGGGGGGGCCATGCACACGATGCAAAGAGTGTGGCAGGTGCGCCCCTCTCGGGAAGTGGTGGCCGCTAGAGTTGTAGTCTCCTGTCCCCTGGAGGAAAAGGACTCGCCTAAGTCTGCCAAGCAAGTCGGGAGCAGGTGCAGGAGGAGAATCGGACATTCTGACTCGGGGCCCACCCCCTGGGCTCTACCTCTTGCCTCGCCCTCCTCCTCCTCCTCCTGTTTCTGGAGGCTCCAGAAGCCTCTGGGCCCCATCCTGGGCTCAGAGAAAGCAGGAGGAGAAGGTGGCTACGTGCTACCAGGTCTGGTGCAGGGATGTGGCCTTGGCCGGACCAGAGAGCGTGAATGAGGCCCCAGGGGAGGGCCCTTGGCCTGCAAGGCATCCGAGTTTGAAATACCCTTTATAGGCAGGGGTAGGAGGCCGGGAATCAAAAAGAGGGCTCAAATGCTAAGAATGGGGGAGGTGGGGGGAGAGAAGAGGGTCAGAGATTCGAACTGAATTCTGGGAATTTGGGAGTGGAAATTTCAACCCAAGTCCATCCGACCCCAGTGGTTGTTCCTGTTCCCCTGCGGGGAGGCAGCACAGCATGGTGGCCATGACTGTGAACTCAGCTGTGACAGTGAATGTCCTGCCAGGGACAGGGTGCCAGGAGCTGTCCCCAACCCCCCATTTGCCCCCCCCATTTGTTTGCTTCCTACCCAGCATCCCTCCCTCCCACCCACCCACCTCCACATGGCAGCACCAGGACTGGGCTGTCAGGAAGGGGGCACAGGCTGGAAATCCTCACCCTGCTGCCCATCCATGGCAAACACAGGAATTGACCATGTCACCTGTCCGTTGTTTGCTGACATTGTTTCTTCCATTTCCCAGCTCCCAGTGGCTGCACAGAGAGCTCTTCTCCCTCGCAAGAGGTGGTCCTGTGCGGATTTAATACCCTACGGAACAGCTTTTTTTCTTAAGGTTTTTGTGCTCCTGATGAATCCATTGAAAAATCCCCCCATAGGGCGCATGGATGGCTCAGTTGGTTGAGCATCCGACTTCGACTCAGGTCATGATCTTGCAGTTCGTGGGTTCAAGCCCCGCGTCTGGCTCTGTGCTGACAGCTCAGAGCCTGGAGCCTGCTTTGGATTCTGTGACTCCCTCTCTCTCTGACCCTCCCCTGCTTATCCTGTCTCTCTCTCTCAGAAATTTAAAAAAAATTTTTTTAATTAAAAAAAAAAAGAAAAATCCCCCCTTTTTAAGAACTTGGGAATTGGGGGAGAAAAAGCACAAAAGAACAACAGCTCGGTGTCTGTCCAGCTGCTCCGCTAGGGAAGCAGCTTCCAACTATGTCTACAAATAAACAGGGTTCCCCAGCAGCAAGTTCGTTCCCCCGAACCTGCCCTCCCGGCCAGTACAGGCTGGACCAGAGCAGACAGCTGACCCAGGCTGGGCCAATCACACCCTCTCTGAGGAGTCTGAACCGTAAGACAGAGAGGGACCATGCTGGCAGCTGAGTCACGGTCAAAGTTGAATTCTAGGGAATTCTGACCACTGAAGAAGCTGAGGGCTTTGTTCTTGCCTTAAACATCCTAGATACACACCTGTCTTTTGAGCTTCTCGAGTATCTTATGCTCGTA